TAGAGGGATGGACCCTTCCACCTTGGGCCTCTTCCCCCTTTGCTTTCTTCACCCCACACAAGTGAGATCTCTGTCCGCTGACATCCTTCCACCCTCTCTCACTGGGTCCTGTCTGCTCAGAAGCATTCAGGCAGCCCTCAAATTCAGTCCCTCAGACACACCAGCACACACACCCGGGCTCTGCCTTGGCCCTGTCTCAGCTCAGTCCCCCCACTTCCCCATCATCAGGCCTTGCCTTCTCCAGCGATGGCATGAGGCTTAGGTGCTTAGGTGTGGCCAGGGGCTGAGATGCTGGGGCACCAGGGTGAGGGGAAGGGGTTGGGGAAGGGAGGCTCCTCGATACCCATCTCTCCAAGGAGAGTTGCTGAGGGCCTGAGGCCCAGCAGCCACTCCCCCAGAGCAGCTCTCTGGCCACCCTAGCAAGATTGAGAGAAGGTGGCCAAGCCAGGGAAGCCTGGCGCAGCCCAGCCAGCTCTCAACTCCCAGCCTCCTCCCCCTCATTCCTTTCCAAGCCAGCCCAGCCAGCGGTTTGTTTAAACAAAACAATAGCAACCTAAACTGGCTGTTTCTTTTCGATTCCCCACAGGCTGGGTCCCACCCAGAGTGATAAACAGGCCTCTCTCCTCCGTGTGGTGCGGGAGGGGGTGAGAGTGGAGGCTGGGCCCCTAAGGTCAGGGAGTTAGTGTGTGCAGAGCAGTGTGGAAAGTCGGATCTGTAGCCTTGACCAGGGTGGGAAGGCTCTCTTCCCCTCCCTTTCCCTCTGGGGAGTCTTTCCCCATCAGCTGGGGCCAGCTTGGCAAAGACACATGCAAACCCTGGGACTCATTGTGTGAAGCCAGAGGCCTTTCCTGTGGCCTTCGCTGGGCCCACTGCCCCTGAGCTCCGCCCAGGCAGCTGCTGGGGGGCTGTGAGCCGAGGCCATCGATGGCCTTCGGAGGCTTTTGGGTCTCTCTGGATCCTGTCACATGGATAGGCACTGGTCTTTGCTGGAAGAGCAGGGAAGGGGTGCTCTGAGGAAGGACAAGGTGGCAGAGGGGCCCCCACTGGCATGTGGTCAGCATGGCTGGTAATTACTCTCATTGGGCTGAGCAGCGGCTAAGCTCCCTTTGGCCACAAACCTTCACTCATTGGTCTGTCCTAGGGGACCTAATATTTCTACCATAGAATCAATACTTGGGAGGGGCCTTAGGAAACCAATTTCAAAGGGTGAGAAAGTTGAGCCCCCAAGAGGTCATACTGCTTGTCCAGAGCCACAGAAGCAAGTGGGAGAATCCCAGAATCTTCTAGGAGGAAGAGGCCTGAGACCCTTTGACATTTGAGACCCACTAGCTCAGGCTCTCATGGCTTTTGATTCACAGTGCTGTCCTGTGCTTTTTCTATGACATCATGACAATCCCATCACTCCTCTAGTGGGCTTTTTTCTGAAAACCACTATTAAACTATACAGACATTACCTGGAGGGCTGGGGCTGCAGTGGAATTGGTTATGACCCATTCCTGCTGTATGAAAATATGAGCTCTCCTAAAGCATCTTTGTGGGCTGCAGTATCACCTTTAGCCTGAGATCACCTTAGAAAGCTGGACATCTCTGGGGCTGGATGAGATTCAGGGATGTTTCTAGAGAGGAGAGGGGGCAACCTAGCATTCTAGCACTTCCCAGAGAGACTGGCCTGAGGAAAGTGCCCTGATGGCAGGCGATGAGCCCATCATTTGAGGGACAGACCCCACACCTGTCAAGTCTGAGCAGAGGGGAGCTTTGGAAAGAGAACCTGCAGGAGGGCAGGGGCTGTGGAGAGCTCCCCGAAACCTTGCTGCCTCACCTGGACCCCCTCTCCCCAGCTCCCAGGTAGGCTACTCCTTTTTAAGATGCGCCCAGGGCACAGAAATATTCTCCTTTCTCTTACTGTAGGTAAAACAGATTGACATTTTCAAAAGGAACTTGTCTTAATGCGAAGGTTAAAAAAATAAATAATTATAGAAATTATAAACAGCGCGGAAATAGTTGGCTTTCTGATCCTCAAGAACACTGAGAAGCCCAGGATGGAGTTTTCAGGCTATCAGGACACAGGTACCCCAGGTGTTTGGGCTCCGGAGGACATCCTGGGCCCTTCTAAGTGTCAGAGATTGGAGGACCTTGGGACGGTCGCTTTTACCGTTATCAGCATCCTTTGGAAATGGGGAGCCTGATACCCATCACCCTCCTAGCAGGGGAGGGGAAGAGCGGGCGGAAAAATTGATCAGTAGGACCCTTAAATACTCAGGATTGATAAGCATTGTCTCTTTTCTTTTTCTTAGAAGTTGGTCCTCAATGTGTGCGCGCGCATGTGTGTGCGTGTGCATGTGAGGTATGTGCCTGAGTGCCTGGCATAGGAATTGGCACAAATTATGCCAATTGCAAGAAGGAGCTCAACTCTATGGACGCTTTGGAGGAACTCCTGGGTTTATAGAACGTGAGATTTCTTCTCCATCTCTCCCTAACCCCAGAACCCATTGCTTCTCTGTCAAGCTAGTTTGGAACTGGCCTGTGAGATGCTGGGGCTCGACTGACAGTCATAGCAACTCCATTCTTGGACCAACCAGGGTGATGCAGACAATCTCACTAGACCTGTTCTAACGGACTTGTCTTAGGTCAAGTAAAGAGCACCGTGCTGGAAGCTGGCCACCTGCCCCGCCATCATTCTTTTACATTGGTAGTGAGCTTTTAGTGTTCATCAGACGATGGATGTCACAGCATCCCATGCATGGGAAGGGCAGAGATCGAGCTCCCCATGTGACTGAAAGAAACCCAGAGGAGCTTCTCAAGGGCGGTGACTGCATCCTGCCTATCTCTGTAGCCCGTAAGATACTTCGTACCTAGTAGGGGAAGTCGGCATGTTCGTGCCCTGGCCCATCCTCTGACCCTTGCACATCAGTGCTCGCAGCCTCCACTCCCTGCTTCTCTCGGCCTCCAGAGCCCTCTCCACCACCCGTGCTGTAGGGCAGATGTGCTCAGTGTTAACAGCCCCTGACGGCAGCTCTGAACCAATGGCTGATTGGGAACTGGTGCGTCAATACTTCAGCCCCCTCGCCTTTTTGGGGGGAACGACGGAGCAGTATATTTCACGCCGGCTCCAGGTACTCAGGGTGGAACTTGTTCGCTCATGAACCTTGCTTGGATGCCTTCCTTATCCTGTCTTACTCACTCCCTTACTGGTGTTCCCTTGTGTCCCCTTGAAAATAAACGACTAGCACGGGAATCCAGGTCTCAGGCTCTGCTTCTGGGGAAACCCAAGCTAAGACAGTGAGGGTCCAATAGACATTTGTGGAATGAATGGAGAGAGGAGTGAAGCTTTTATCCAAAATGCCACGGGTAGCTGGCCTCAGTGCCAGGGTGAGAAGTCTGTACTCCAGACCCTCTGTCCTGATCTCTTCCAGCAGGACCAAACTGCTGCCCGCCTAGACCTGGACTCTTCTGTCCTCCAGGACCAGGTCCCAGAGTTCTCTGACAGAATTGATCCCTGATGTACTAAGCCCTTGGAGAACCACAAACATGAACCAACTAGACAGAAGTCACCTCTATCCTTTGTTTCTTGTCCCCATGGGAACAACTAGGCAGCTACGTTATCTGAGAGTAGAGTGTCCAGAGGCACCCCTCCTCTGCTCTCCCCAAGCCTGGGGACTACTTTAGGTAGGGGTTCTTTGAGACATAGTGGCCAGGTTTGTGAGGTCTGCTGGGCGGGGAAGGGGCCTGGCTCAGTTCTGGTCCCAGCAGGGAGGCTGGCCCGGGTTCTTCAT